AAGAAGATATTTTCAAAGCTCTGATAAATATTCTCAGGAAGTTTTATAGAAATATTTATTTCAGGGGGAGATTCTTATCTCTTATTATATTTTATTTCTATATCTGAATATTTTTTGTCATCATCAAAAAGGGGGAGATTGTTAGAACAAGATTAGTTCTGATCATATCTCAGAGTTTTGATGATAACAATAAATTATATTTTAGATAATTTATACTCTGATGAATGTATTTAACTGTTTTAGATAATGTTCTGACAGAAGCATTTTGATGTGCTGAGCTAAAAATAAATGAAGAAGTTCTTTGATGAAAAAACTATTTTCTTTAGCACAACTGTTGATGCTGACTCTGGTAAGATAATTATTTAAATACATCTTCTAACGCTTAACAAGATTCCTTGTTCAGAAGTACCTTAAAAGCAAGTGTTGTTCAGAAGTTTATTTGAAAGCAAGCGTTGATCAAAGGTTCTTAGCAAGTAGAGCATTATTTAGAAGATAAGCAAGCATGTTCTGAATTCAAGACGTGAATCAAGTTCTAAATGAATGTAAAAGCTAACTTGTCTTGTCAAGCTTCAGGAAACATGTTCTTACAAGTGCTGTTTGCTTATTTAATTCAAAGACGGCTGCATGCACTCAAGTGTCTACGCTAGTTCATTAGAAAATGGAATAGTGCAAGGAAACACACAAGTATTTAATGCTTTCCACTTTTTGAAGGCAACAACGGTCATTTTGTTCTTACTATATATAGAAGGACATTTATTGTAAGCGAACTAACCAATCAATTTCAAAAAGAAGCAAGGACTACGTGAAAAATTCTGGGCTCACAAATTCATTGTTCATACACTTTGTGCAAATTTATTCTAAGTGAAAAATCACAGTTGTGATATAGCTTTATTAGAAGCAAATTTTATCTCACTATCCGTAAAGATTAAACTCTTGTAATTGTTCCCTGAGAGACCAAGTTTGGTCAAATTTCTCAAGTAGACTAGGACTAGTTTTAAGTCTTAGTAGTGTTAGTCACTTGTAAGATTACTTGTGCATTGTTAGTCACAACAGTTGTTGTGTGTTTGTAATCAGTTGATTATAGTGAATTAAGTCCTTGTTGAGAAAGGCGAAATCACCTTGACGGGTGGACTGGAGTAGTTTGAGTTCAAACGAACCAGGATAAAAATAACCTTGTCTTTCCATTTTTGTTGAGCATTGAAAGAAAAGAAAAAAGAGAAACTTATTCAACCCCCCCTTCTAAGTGTTTTCTTACCCTTCAAGAGTCGCCACCGACTTTTCTTTTATCTAATGAGGAAAGGTGAAAAGAACAGGAAATATCTTTGGTAGATTTTGAGTTCGGGGGGTAAGTTATGAAAAGGGAAGGTGTTAGCACCCTTTTCATCCGTAGTTATCTATGGGCTCTTAATCGCTAGCTCACTTTTTGAAATTTGCTTTGTGCGTGTGATTTTTTTGAAAATATTTTGAAAAGCTAACTTTGTAACGATTCTCGTATCAGTCCTCAAGAATGCGTACAAAGTGTTGAAAATATTTTGTTTGAAAAAGTGTGATGTGTAAAGATATTTTATTTGTGAAAAAGGTTGTGAGCAAGCGATTAAAAGTTCCTTACCCACTAAAGGTCGTTCTTATTCTTTTCCTTCTCCGTTAGAGACAGTGTTACCCATACCATTAGTTGGTAGATAGCCCTATCTATTGGATATTAAGGGACAGGCGAAAAGTCATTGAATGGTCATAGAAAGCAACTGGTAAAAATACTTTAGCAATTCGAAGGGACTGTCATCATATTATTCGTAGGAAATAAGGGACTAGATCATTTTTCGTAGGCAACTCGACGGACATCGCGGGACCATGATCTTTATTCGGAGGGACCATGATGATTTAATCGAGGGTCTTTGCTAAAGTACACTTACTTTCGAGGGACATGACCATTGTTTTCTGAAGGCAACAGAGAGAGGTTACCCTAGAGGTGTAAAATGTGCAAAAGTGATTCAGCTCAGTTATATTTATCTTGGAAATGTTTAAGGTTATCTACCGATTTATCTTGCCATACAAGCCTATTTACTACACAATTATATATATATATATATATATATATATATATATATATATATATATATATATATATATATATATATATATATATATATATATATATATATATATATATATATATATATATATATATATATATATATATATATATATATATATATATATATATATATATATATATATATATATATATAAGGCATAAAGTATACGTGCAGATAAAATAAAGTGCAGAAGATAAAACCTAACATTATTACATGGCCTCAGGAGAGTTACATAATAATTAAAACTTTGCGAGAAATTAAAATTAAGCTATTACAAAAAAAAACCCGTGCGACCTATACAATTGTTTCTAGGAATTTAAATGCAAAAGATAAATAAAAAAGTTAGAAATATTTTTTAAAGTCCTAAAAATTCTAGGTGTTAAAAGATTTTTTTTTTTGTATTTTTTGGTTTGATTTTATATGTTAATAATAAAAAAACAAAAAAAAAACCTAATGTCTAATTTTAATTTCAATTTAATTAATTAAATTGCAAAAATTTAATTCTAAATTAATTAAATTAATTGATATAAAAAAGACTAAAACCTAATTTTTTGATTTTATAAGTTTTTTTGAGTTTTTTAATTGTCTTTTGATTTTAATTGTAAAAAAGAAATAAATAAATCAATGGAAATATAAGAAAGGAAAAATGTTAGAAAAAAGTGTTAAAAGAAATTGCATGGGGTGGAAATCGAATGACACCCTCCGTTTAGTCTGAAAGTGCCTGTGAGTAGCGATTCAAAGCTTCACCGTGACTATGCCCTAACAATGACAAGTCACGATTCATGCGCTCAATCTTGCATGTTTTTGCTCAAACTTGTTCTAATCGTCATGTAGAATATGTTTGGAACACAAAAATAGTTAAGCATGCATAAATTAATAGATTTGAATATTCAAAATCTTATCCAAATGGTGAGTGTGAGTATGATGATCTTGGGCGTGGAATTGCTTAGTTCTTGATCTGGGCGTGTTCCTGAGAATGTCAGGATGATGGTTCAGTCCTTGGTTTGGATTGAAAACCATTGAAAAATAGAATTCGAATATGTCCTAATTCTTGACTTTTTGGTGATTTTTTGAACTAGCTTTTGAGGTAGAATTTCGCGGTCCTCCTCTTTGTTTGATGTTTGTCTATTTATAAGCCAATTATTCTAGATCAACAAATATGGTATGGAACCATATGTAATTATGGCATGATTTCTTTTCAAAACCAATTAAAAATCTCCTAAAACAAGTAAAACTCTTCCCATATTGAGGCAACACGATTTTGGCAAGTTGGATATGTGTTCTTGGGCCTCAAATCTGATCCAAAACCAAGCTCACATGCCTTGGTCCATCATTTATTATTTAATTTAATTTATATTTTGTATTTAATTGAATAAAAATCAAAATAAATATAAATAAATAAAAAAAATCATGGTAAGGTATGATTGAGTTTAAGAGTCCTCTATAAGGTCATGAACATGTTTAGACCTTAGAAGATAGGTTGACTGGTCCAAAATTTTAAAATTGCTCAATTGTGGTTTTATGCATTTCTCAAAAATTTCTCAATTTACACCAATCATATCTCGCTTTGACAAAAGATGTCTTTTTGTTGTCTTTCAAAATGACCTGTAATGTTTTGCCTCATATCTCTTAAATGAAGTAATTTTTGGACTTGAGCTTAGAGAGACAAAGTTGTAGAGAATTGAATTTCCATCAAAATTGCTTTGGTTGAGAATTTTCTGAAAAAGCATGTGAAAATTATGCTTAATCATAAAGCACTAATGAACTTTTAGAACCTTTACTTGACCAACTTGGCCTTTAGGATGTAGTGAGATGACCGGCTTTGGTGCAGTCCGAAGTTGGTAGATACTCGATACTACACTCATTCAGGTTTGGTTTCTTGGGATATTTCGATCGCCATTAAAGAGGCTTGTGCTGAAACAATGACCAAGGAAATAAACCCGTGATATTGAGCTCCTTAGAACCCGGTTACTAGTTGACTTCTCCTAAAGAAAACCCTAATTTAGCGATTTTTGACTTTTTATGAATCTTAAATTTCTTTGATGAATCATGATCAACCCTTGATCAAATGATGTATGTGAGTTCAAAATATTGATGTTGACCAAAAATCTTAAAACTTTACTATATGTTAACCACAGTTGACTTTTTATCTTTAACTCGAAAAGTATTTTGATTTTCTTTAACCGGAAAAAGTAAAAACTAAACAAAGAGCATGAGCTACAGCTTTGGTGTAACTTCAAAGAACCAGAAAAAAGCAAGCTGGAGGATACAATTAGAATAACACAATCCCAACAAATTCAAAGCTGCCTCTGAAACAAAGCAAACATAAGAGTGAAACCGAATTCAAAAGAATTATAACAATCCGGTCAAACTTAATTGTCAGCATTTTTACTAGGATGAATATTTAATATATGTTATGATAATAACATGAAAGACAATGGTGTCAGTGTTTCTAATTCCAGAATATACTTATATTTACCAGTTCCAAAATGAATGAGATAGATATGAGAAAAAACCAATAACAAAAAAAAAAGTACCCAACAAAACAAAATAAAACCATAAGACACAGCTAAATGTTAAACTAGGAAGCTATAACATTGTGAGCGCTGCGATGCTTATAAACCATTTTAATTTTCATCAGCCATGGTTTATAAATTTTGATTCTCACTTTTTAAATTTTGAATCTTCAACTTGGCAATCTCATCTCCCAAAATCTTCTTTTGTTCATTCAACTCATGTTCTTTCAGCTTCAATTTTTCACACACATCATCAACCAGAATCTCGCTATTCTCAACTTGAACCACCAACTTGATATTCTCTTGTTCCGAAAGTTGAAGTTTTAAATTTGAAACTCTTAGTTCTTCCTCCTTTTCAATGAATTTTTTGAGAAACTCGTCGTAACTTCTATTATTCTAACTCCCACGAAAAACCATAATCCATGATATCAGCTTCAGGTTCAGAATCCCATGATGACAAAGGTGATTTACAACCCTCCTTCATCGAAACCATAGAGCTAACATCAACGTCAGAGCTAGAAGGCAATTCAATATTGAGAGTCTTGTGATTTGGGATCATCGCTACACTCTCTCCATCACAATTGCTAGAACCTTCCATCTGTGATTCTAAAAATAAACTCAACAATTATAAGAACTATGCACTATTGGAAAAAAACCATAAAAAGTGCAAACTTCTTATTCCAATCATCAACAATCAGAAATCAACATGCTGATTGAAAATATTTTTAATTATTATTTCTCTAGTATATAAAACAAATCTAAAATTGTATCATGAATCTAAAACAATATAAAATAATAAATTATAATCACGAAACAACATAATTTGAATACTCAACCAATTGTGAAAATTTTAAAACCCTAAAAGCATAAAATATGTAAGTATATAAAAACTATAAAAAAATGCAATTTTTCTATTCCAATATCAAACATTCAAAAATCAATTTTTTTTAACAATAACCATATTTAAAAAAAAACACAAATAACTATGTTTCAGAGAAATTTACGCAAATAACTATGTTTCAGAAAATGTTATAACGCAGTAGCCATCTCAGTTGGCGCATGCATTGATTTTTTTAAAGGAGGCGCCTAGTCATCTCTAAAATTTTTTTAATCAAATTTTCTATTTACCGGTGGATTTTCTTGCAGATTTGAATATTTTTGTGAATTTACTTGAGGATTTACCTGCGGACTAATTCCTCCAGATAATTCCGTAGGAAAATCCGCAGACAAGTCCGCAGGTAATATCAAATCTGCAGGAAAATCTACAGGTAACTGAAAAAGTTTGAAAAATATATAGGAAGCTCCAATTCAAGTGGCGCCTCCTCTTTAATTCACTTTTTTTTATAAACATGATTATTTGGGTAATTTTCTCCGAAACATAGTTATTTGTATTTTTTTTCCTTCAAAACATGGTTAGGGCTATAAAACATTCTCAAAAATCAACATATTGTTCAAATCATAATAATATGTCATCACTAAATAAATACAATAACATGAACAATAATGTAGATTACAATTTGAAAGCCAGTTATAAAAATATATTATCCGATGATTATTATATGCAAGATTACTGATGCAAAACAAAGTACTAATCCTCTTAAAATAAATATTGAAAATTTCAATGATAGAAAGTAATATAGTTTTAGAAAACATGATAAAGTAAAGAAGGAGACTTACTCAGCAAACTTCTGTTAAGAGATTGGAGAAGATCTCGTATAATGGAATAGGCAGGACGTTTAGAGAAGAACTCACTTTTTGTATTGATATGGAAGGGTATTATGTTTGTTATATATATAATTATTTTCTAAAAATAAATTAGGGTTTCTACTTTTTCTTCCCTACTTATAGGTCCCTTTTCGAGAATGCTTTTTAGAACTAACTATGTTTTGAAAAAAAATACAAATAATCATGTTTTCAACAAAATTACGCAAATAATCATATTTTGAAAAAAAAAGAATTAAAGAGGAGACGCCACTTGAATTGACGCCTCCTATATATTTTTCAAACATTTTCAGTTGCCTGTAGATTTTCCTGCAGATTTAACATTACATGCAGACTTACCCGCGGATTTCCTACGGAATTACTTGTGGAAAAACAGTCCACATGTAAATCCGCAAGTAAATATGTAGGAAATGTCAAATTTGCAGGAAAACCCGCAGGTAAATAGAAAATACTGAAAAAATATTTAAGAGATGGCTAGGCGTCATCTCACTTGACGTCTCCTTTAAAAATATCAATGCATACGCCATCTGAGATGGCTACTGCATTATTACATTTTCAAAAAATGGTCATTTGCATAAATTCCTCATAAACATGGTTATTTGTGTATTTTTTTTTCAAAACATGACTATTGCTAAAAAAAATTCCTTTTCTGTTTAGGGTTTTGTTTTTGTATTTGGTTTTTAAAATATTTAAAATATTATAAAATATAGTTTTATTTTTTTAATCGAAGTTATTTAATTTATATTGTTAAATAATCATAAAAATTAAGAAAACTTCTCATATAACTTTTTATGTTTTTTAATGAAATTTTAGTTAGTTGTTGTGTTATGTTACTTTTAATTTTTAATTTTTGTTCAATAAGAGACTTTCATGTGATATGTGATGGCTTGGCCATGAAATATGAACAAATATAAGAACAAATATATGCAACTTTCCCGTCAGAAACCTACTCCTTGACTTGCTCATTGCCTATATTTATTCCTAAAATAAAAAAGACTTAATTGCAATTTGGTTCTTCTATTTAGTTTTTTTTTCTTATTTTAATTTATTTATTTTAAAAATTATTATTTTAATTCCTTTTTTAAGTTTTCTTTTGAATTTTCGTTCCCTCGTTTTAAAAACCATAACTTTGATCCCTTTTTAAATTTTAAGTTGTAATTTTAGTCCCCTTTCTAATTCTGATGATGAAAAAGGGATCAAATTTCAAAATAAAACTTAAAAAGAGACTAAAATCACAACTAAAAACTTAAAAAAGTGATTAATATCATGTTTTTTAAAATGAGAGGACGAAAATTCAAAAGAAAACTTAAAAAAAAAGAGACTAAAATGATTGTTTTTAAAATGGGGATCAAAATAAAAAAATAAAATAGGAGGACCAAAGTTACAATTAAGCCAATAAAAATTAAAATAAATTATTATTGAATTAAATTTATATTTCATAGGTTAAAATAATGTTTTAAGAATCAGATCTGTCATTAAATCGGTGAGGGTACTGGGTCATTGGTTTATTGGTCGAACCATTGTGTTACTGGTTAAACCGTATGACTAAATTGAAATAAATAGGATAATCCTGGTAGAATAAACCGATCTCTATAACAAAATTGTATAATTATTAAACTGGTCGAATTAGATGACTCGATCTCTAAAAAATCCATGACACTTACAAATTTTTAAAATATCATAATTTCACAAGTTTAATATTTAAATTCATATTTTAAACATAGTCATTATACACAACAAAATAGTATAAAATACAAATTCAAAACAATTTTAAACAAAATTTAATAACAATATAAATTGAATTAAAAAATAAGTACATTGTCTAATAAATTTAATTTGAACGAGGAAAATTGTTCTAAATAAGTTTTGAACAAAGATTACGTGTATTTTGTTTTTATTTACAAAATTTAAAACGGCGCCGTTTTGTCGGAGGAAAAAAAAGAAGCATTTAATCCACCCGTTTGCTGGTTTTTTTTTACCCATTTTGAGTTGTTTTGGCTGGTTCCCACATGTTCAATAGCTTACTCGATCCAACAATCACAACATTATATCTTCGAAGGAGATTTACCCTTAAGTAACTTCTCTATATCTTGCTGTCCCCTTTTTACATTATCAGCTAAGCGTCTCATCTTGATCAGTTCCTGGATTGCATCTTTCAAAAGGATGCAATTATCAGAGTTGTAGTTGTGGCTCCTATGGAAGCGAGCTTATTTTTATTTATGCGTCCGAGATAATACTTTGATAGGGTAAGGAGATTATATTCTTGCTTTCTGAAACTCAGTATTTACACAATCTTGATAAAGTTTTTTGCAGGAGACCATAAGGGGAGTGTACATGTCGTACTTTCCTAGCATACGCTGATCAGAGTCATCCCGACACTGGTGGGACTCCTTTCCATCCGAACAACTACAACGAGATTCAATGGAGGCAGGGTTATAAAAATGTGTGATCAGTTTCACTTCCAGGATCATGTAAGGTTCGACCATGGTTAACATTTCTTGGATATATTTTACCTTCTTTTGCCTTAACTTGTGCTTGAAAAAATGGTTTTCCATAAGGCCGTTATAAAATATCCAACACTGAAGACCTTCTCGAGTCCCTTTTACCTCAACAGAGACACGCGTGAATCAGTCTATATACAATTGCAAACTTTTTTCTTTCCCCGAATAATTCCGTTCAAGGCAGCCTCAGTTATAAGTTATCGCTTCCGAGTTGTGAAATATGCATAAAACCTCTCATGGAATTCATCCCAAGAAGCAATACTCTCGTCGGGTAAACTGTTGAACCATAACTGGGCTGGCACGATCAATGTTAAACAAATAACATGCACTTGGATACATCATCAACGCTAAAATAACTTACCCAGTCATTCACGAGTTGGACATGCTCGTCGAGATCTCTTTTTTCATCATTATCACCTATCTTGGGCGGCTTTTCCATGTACTTTGGGATCTTTCTTTCCATGAACCTTAATGTTAGCAGGTGCTTCAAATGCACCTTCCTCGAGAGAGTTTCTACTTGAGACAAAAAGAGCATAAAAATTATGGTCTTCTCTGGGGCTCTGAGGGTAGCTATGATGTTTCTTGTTCTTACGTTGAACCTTCGACCAATGGGCCTTATCTGTTATTGTCATTGCTGGTTTTGGGACGAAAACATGAGTTTTCTCTGAAGCAATTTCTTAAACTGTATTTTTGCAGGAGGGAGTGTTATGAAGGCTTTCTTCCTAGCCATGAAGCCTTACTTTAAGATCATATGAATTTTGTTTTCGAACGATGTTATATTCCTCGATAGTTCATTATCACCTGGCATACTGAGGTTTGCTTGTAGATGGTGGAGGCCAGACAAGGCTTTAGGTTGTGTAATCGGAGGTGGAACAAGAGTCTCTTTTGGAGTAATTTGAATAGATATGGCTAATTGAAAATCTCGAACCAGATCTATATGCAGTGAAACCACCATTTCAGGATGTATGATGTTTTAAGACGATGGAATAAGTGGTGGATTACTTGCTGTTAGAGCAGCGACAGTACCTTCCAGCGCATCGGTTGATCTAGTATCCTTAGATTCATCCATCATAAAAAATATAGGAATTGAAGATCTGTAAAACTGAGGAAACATAATCAAAATTATGCTTGTATGAATAAAGACGTGATTGATTCTTGCATTTGATCACAAATGTTTATTCTCCGGTGATTGGAAGACGTGCAAACTGAGAAGTTTGAGATAGAATATGAATTCTTGGAAATTGTAGGAATCAGAAGTTAGTTTTCCAATGAAGGTGCCATTTTTCTATTTTGGAACCATAAATGGGAGGATGAGCAGATGTGATGGAAGATTGTTGCCTCTGATGTGTTAGAGTGGAGAGAACCTACAAGATTA